AGAAGCAAAAAAAAAAAAGGGAGGAGGGGGGGGGGGGGGGGGGGGGGAAATATGATAGAGGTCTATAAAATCATGACTGGTGTGGAAAAAGTGAATGAGGAAAAAATTCTGTATTTGTTCCCATAACATAAGAACTAGGGGTCACCAAAATGAAATTCATAGGTAGCAGGTTTAAAACAAATAAAAGGAAGTTTTTCTTCACACAGCTCCTGTTCGGCCTGTGGAACTCCTTGCCAGAGGTTGTAAAGACCAGGACTTTAAGAGGGTTCAAGAAAAAACTAGCTAAATTCATAGAGGTTAGGTCCATCAATGGCTATTAGCCAGGAGGGGCACGAATGGTGTCACTAGCCTCTGTCAGAGGCTGGGACTGGGTGACAGGAGAGGGATTGCTTGAAGTTTCCGTGTTCTGCTCACTCCTTCTGGGGCATCTGGCACTGGCCACTGTTGGCAGACAGGATAACGTTTTAAAAGATAAACAACTGGTAGTACAATACAAACTACTGCAAACATTTTACTGGTTACCAACTCATCTCAACTTAATTAATAAACATGGTGCTTCTTTATTCATATATACAAGCACCATTAGGATGACAGCAGATTGAAAATTTAAAATTTACTTGAAAATGGGCATAAGTTGAAACTATACGCATTGTACATTGATTCAGCTGTCTATGAATTAACTGAAGCCTGCTATACCTTGAGCTGGAGGTGTGTGCAAGATAACTTCCCTGCTCCAAGGGCTGCAGACAGATCCTTTATATCCTCTGACTCTAAAGGCATAGCTGCTATTATTTTCAAGGTCCGAGATTACTTTACTCTTGCTGCAGGCTTCAGTTTCTTGCCATGTTACATTCTCCTCTTCTCTATTAAGTTTACGGTATTCAAGGATATAGGTATCAGCTGAATCTGTCTTCTCCAGATGTTCCCAACAGATCAAAGCTTTATTATACATTCTGCTCTTCTCCTCGTTGATCTCTGGTACATCTACACCTGAAATAACCATCATATACAAGAAAAAGTATTTTTGTATGGAGTAATCAAAATTCTTCCTCCTGTGTGAAAGATACTATGAGTGGGTGTTTATTAACTGACTAAGCAAGATATATCCCTCAAGTTCCCTGCTCTCATTTTGAATGTTTCCAGTATTCCTTATCTACTTATTTAAAATATCAAGAAACTACAGAAAATTTTAAAAACCTACACGCAATGTCCTTTGTGTATGTTGTGCCAGGTGTCAAAATGTTTATCTAGGCCAAGTATTATTACCCGTCTAAAAGATACTTCTAACCATCAATGAACAATTCTGATATAGGAGGATTACTGAATAAGCAGGAGGCCTACTGAATAGCAACTAAAATAGTTTTTGGTACCAATACCTCCAAAACACAAACTATTAATTACTATAGTTACTCCTAAAGTAGTTCTATGTGAAATTTGCTCTGCACACGAATAGTATTTTTCCATTTTTGGTATTATGAGACTGCATGTTAAGATGGAGCGAGAATTTTCCCTGACCTTACATACTTAGTGTATGCTTAAAAATTAGAACCAAGCTATGTCAGTCAGAACTGTGAAATATTTTGGACTGAGGACATTACAGTTAGGAGGATCAAAACTTTTTGTGTAGATGCAGCTAGGTCAATACCAGGATTCTTCCATAACGTAAAAACCACCTCTCAAAGGCAGTGGATTAATTACATTGATACAACCCCCCTCCCCCTTCTGTTTATCTAGGAAGCATTAGCTGTAGCACCACACGTCCACTGTGGTAGCACATCCATCCTCTTAGTAAACATTGAGTTACAAAACTGAAAAGCTGACGTTTGATGACATATGTTGGGAGTGCAGAAATCTCTGCAGCACTAGCTTAAAAAACAAAACAAAACACCCTTTTTCCTGCTGGGAAAACAGCTTTTGGGAGGAGCATCGTGGAATTTGCAGCCATAGTCCAAAGATCTTAGAAATCCTGCCTAAACCTAGCCTCCTGTTAGAGCTAGTAACACCACCAGAGCCACACCTCAGGAAAGAGGTAATAAAAACAACCCCCTTTATTACATTTACCACTGGTGTAGAAGGACAGATCTCCAAGAATCTCTTCTTGCTTTGTTATATCAACCACATAGTCTTCAAAAGAAGCTTGAGCTGCTGGCCGGAAACTCTTCAAAGATTCAGTAGCTTTTTGAATTCTAAAAGAGAGAAAAAAAATAGACTTATGTATTCAGCAAGGTTGGACTACATTCACAAGGGAAGGAGTCGACTTTGACTATGTCTGCAGAGCCAAAAAAGTCCTGTGGCAAGGAGTCTCAGAACCCAGATCAAGAAGTTCATGTTTTGCCTTTCCCCATCCACCCAAAACAGCAGCATAAACTTTCCTGCTCAAGTTAGAGCTGGGCTCAGAAACTCCTCCCACCTCACTATTTCAGAGCCTGGATCCCAGCCCAAACAGGAAAGCCTATAGTACTATTTTTAGCCCTGGAGCAAGAGTCTGAGTCTACAGACCTAGGCTCCAGGACTCATTCCTATGGGTTTTCTTTGTTTTTGCAGTGTAGATGTACCCTTAGGCACTGACCATTGCAATATCTAACTTTTAAGCTCACTAAAAGACACTTGGAGAAATTCACTACTAGATTCCCTATACAATGCATGGGGGACAGTGAGATGCCTAAGAAGTGATTCACAAAGACAAGCATGCTGAGCAGGTAGCCACCTAAGCTAGCTGTCAGCAAATGCTGAGGAAACAGGTATATAACTCCTGCCCCTTAAAAAGGAAGTTAAGATTGCAGGCCAGAAGCAGCATGCTTGCCAGATTAGATCTTGCAAAAAGGGATAGGCTGAGGAAACCTGGGATTCAGATGTGAGCTAGGAGCTGAACTTTTCAGCACTGTCAAGATTTAGGCTATGCACATATCCACCAGCAGAAACTTAAGACACCTGGCTGTGTCTAGACTTCACCTGCGTCTGGACTACAGCCGTGTTCTTTCGAAATTAATCGAAAGAACGCGGCTTTTCTTTCGATGGTGGTAATCCTCATTTCACGGGGAATAATGCCTTTTTTTGAAAGTGTTCTTTTGAAAAGAGGCATTCTTGAATGCAAACAGGGCTTTTTCGAAACAGAGCATCCAGACTGCCTGGGTGCTCTCTTTCGAAAAAGTAGCTCACTTTTTCAAAGAAGAGGTTGCAATCTAGACGCTCTCTTTCGAAAGAGGCTTGTAGTCTAGACGTACCCCTAGGGAACTTTAGGCACTAATAAGATTCACAAAACCCCTCTTTTCTTAGGCACCTTAATGCATCTTCATCTCCCCTGTGAATCTGACCTGTCTTGTATTGAAAACAGCATTAAAATTCAAAGCATGCAATCCTGCTGCCCTGGGCAAAAATCCAGACATCATTGGAGCCAAGGTTTCACTCAAAAAATTTGTACACTGACAAAAGAAACCTAAAAAGGTAACATTACAATTGGCAAACTGAACACGTACACATGCCTCCACAAAAGTAGCTTAAAAAAAAAAAAAGATTAATATTAATTACCAGGAACGGAGATCAGCTTTTAGGATCAAAGAGGTTAAACAAGGAAGATATCTATTAGATTATCAAGTCTACCTTCACAAATTCATGATATAGTCTCCCTGCCAATGGTGGGCTGTGCATTAATCGAAGAGTGTTCTACTTTGTCACTCTGCATGGATGAATTTCTGACTTATTTCCATAAATTGTTTCCTATATTATGATGCAACTTAAGAATTGCCATCTCAGTAAAGAATGAACTTATTATGTTAATCTCTACACAATGAGCATCAATGACATCCATAATTTTAGTCAATAGCCAGCAATATTTTAATAAATTTGAAAGAAATGATGAAAGACAAAATTTTAAACAATCTTTATAATGTAAGGTAATTAAATACCTGACATGGAGCTGTTTTGCTGTTTGAACAAAACAAGACTGGTCTGTTTCTTTGAGCACTTCCTGAGCATATCCCACAAGTCCATTGTTTTCTAGAAGTCCTTGATATTCCTCTATTTGGGTGTGTAGTTTCTCTAGTCTTAAGTTTTTGGAAGCCTCAATTGCTCTCAGAGCAGCTGATCTCCTTTCTTCCAAAACATCAAACAACTTGTCAAAGTTATAAGATGCTTCTTCTTTAGCTCTCTCGCCATTGCACTATTACAAAATACAAAGTACACTTAAAAAAAAATAGGAACCGTTCCATAGTATTGTGGAATCTTATGGAAAAAGTTTTATGAAAACTTTTCAAAACAGCATTGCAAAGTTCTTCTCAGTCTTGGCAACGAATTTTTGATGGGCAAAAACAGATAGTATTTTCATCATCACCAAAATACAGAGCAACCGACTAGATCTTGTGGCTAAGTTGGTAAATTTTCATGACAATTTCACAAAGCTAATGTAGTAAGTGAGGGGATAAGAAAATATTTCTCTGCTCATCCAATGCAATATACTAGACATTTTTCAACCTGCATCATTCCACATGGATTTAAACTGACTCTTGAACAATTTATGCAATGGCAGCTTAACAAATTTACTTGATAGTGGAATAATTTAAGCACTGGAAAATAAGAAGTTTCCTTATAGCTAGAATACTATATAGTATTCATGTAATATTTCCATGTAAAAAGAAGAGTTATTTCTATTCTGAGTGTAGAAAAGTGATTTATAAAATAATTTCCTGGTGTCAACTGCTTTTCAAAGTTTATATATTTCCCCAACACACACACACACTGAAGCTGAATTTCCTGAAATAGGGTAAGTGAAAACTCCTGGTTCAATTGTATTTTGTATTCTCTCTGCACATCTAATACTAGCTTCCTCTCAGCCTCTTATGTTGCATATATAAGCGGTTTCTCCCCAGCCTGAATTTCTGTTATTTCCTTTAAAGTTGGATTTTGACTGTATTATAGTCTAACTAAAATTTAAGATGGATGACATTCTCTGTCCTAAGAAAATATATAGCCTATAAGGAGATATCATCAGATATTTGGTACATTGGAGTTGAACCTTTTTGACTAGGTCTCAGGGGGTTAGCTGTGTTAGTCTGTAACCAAAAAAACTTCAATGGTCCTGTAGCACCTTAGAGGCTAACAAAAATACCTATAAATAGTATCACGAGCATTCATGGGCACAACCCACTTCTTCAGATAGCAAATATTATGGAGCAAGGGGCACAGATTTCTTTACATTTCAAAATCTGTGTTCCTTGCTCCATAATATTTATCATCTGAAGAAATGGGATGTGCCTTTTTTGACTAGACAAGCAACTCTCCGTTATTTTGTGCAATCAATGTCACTCACACTGTTAAAAGTCTACTCAGGCATCTGTTCATCTCAATTTGCAGAACATACACCATTTTTATTGATAACGTAAAAGATAATACTTAAGAGCAAATTTTTGAAAAAGAGAATGTTCAAATATCTGACCAAGTTATACCTACCTCAGTTTCTTTAATTAAGAGACCCAGTTCAGAAATTTGACCTTTCACCTGGCTCTCCTTACTAATGAGGTATTCAATGTCCTTTGAAAGTTTCTCCTGTTGAAATATAATAGCAAGTTAGAAGAAACAGGATAGTATGCCTACCCTGCAGTTAGTGCATGTAAGCCATCTACAAGACAGACATCCAATGCTCAATCTGAGTTGTTCAGTTAATTTACCTATTTACAGAAGACCAATAGCCTGTGATGGATTATACGCAAGCAAAATGTTACAGGAACATACGCAACCACGACAGGTCACTGATCAACCCTATCTGGTGTTCTGTAGTTCATGTCAGATGTTTCCAAGGAAGGTAAAAAAATCTCTGTAATACACCTAATCTTATTTTATAGTGTATCATGCACTAGGGAAGTAAAATCCCATTTAAGTAGTTAACCAGTTAACTGATTAAATGGTGTCGGGCAGGGGCTGCTCCAGCCCCACACGGGGCTGCTGACTCTCCGCCTACATGGGCTGGGAATTGTCTGCCCCTTCTCCCTCCTTGCTGCTGTTTCCAGCCCCATTCGAGGCTGCCAACTCCCGGGGTGATGCTTACCAAGTAACCGGTTACCCATCCACATCCCTACCATCTACCTTCTAAGGACATTTCTTCCCAGCCTCTGAAACCAATTCTCTTATAGCCTGAAGAATGAGATTTAAGATATTTGTGATAATTATAATACTTTTGTAGTCCCTTATATGAATAAGCTCCTAAAAACCACAAAGATAATTAAGATTATGATGGCTGGCAGAATTTGACTTTTTAATGTAATTTTGATGAATATCACCATTTAATTTTAAGCATTTTTAGTTGTATCTATTTAAATTGTCACAGTTTCAGGATATTATTGGGGGTCATACAATAACTTAATTACCTAGACACTGGAATTCTAAACGTTAAATATTTAACTGTAAAAACACAAGCTGTCAAATTAAACTCTTAAGTTCTCAAGGAGCATTTTTCTTACTTTCCATAAGTGTAAATTGTTATTCTGAGTGTAAATGTGTGCATTGCCTTGTGACATGGTGCATTTGATTTTAACCAATAAAAATCTTCCAAGCCTAATTGTAATTGAGTTGTTAGGAGTTTCTGAATAAATGCTTCTGTATGGTGATATTCCATACCTTGGGGGTGCACCCTATTCCTCATCTGTATGTAATTGTGATATTGCATATAAAGCATGCCATGGAAGGTACAAGGGAAAGGATATACTCTGCTGAAAGTCATTTTTCTATCTAAACATGTATATCATTAATGCATGTGAAATAAGAATGGTGATCTGTGGTTTTCATTAAAATATGCTGTGAACTTGGGAGGTGCCAAGATGCTAATGCTACAGAAACAGACAATGGCAAGGGAGGTAACCAACATCCGGGTGGGAGTTGTGTTACAGACATCACCAGCCATTGTCCAGCAAGGGAGCTACAATGCAATGACTCACCTGCATGAGGCCACACCCAAGGAATTGCTCAACCTTGCCTGAGAACTCAGCAATGCACATCACACATGCCCAGATTTATAATTTCCAAGCTCATGGACTAAGATCATAAAAACCAAACACAGGGACCCATGCTTTACCTTTTCTCCTGCCCCCTACCTATGCTTCAAGCTACACAGAAACTTGAGAAAACTGAAGATGCCAACAGAAGGGACTGACTCAGGTTTCAAGGATGAAATCTGTACACTGCAATCTCCAGTGGGATGAAAAAAAACCTGCTTAATCTAGTTGTTGCCCAGTCTAATAGGATAGAGAGTTTAGACTGCATGTTTATATTTTCTTTTGGTAACCGCTCTGACTTTTTGCTTATCACTTAAAATCTATCCTTTGAAATCAATAAACTTGTTTAATTGCTTATCTTTATCAGCAAATTTGCTTGAAGTGTTTGGCAAGGGAGCTTGGCTCAGGTTTGCAAAGTTTCAGTTGAAGAGGTGGATGGTACATTCCTGAAGTACAGTACTGGGAGTTGGGCAGGGGAAGAACCTCTCTGTGTGATTCATGAATAGTTCTGGGAACATTCATGCAATCTAGCTGGATGTGGGGGCTCCACATGTGGTTGTGCAAAGTGATAACAGCATCTGGAAGGGGTTGCTGCTGGCCACTAACAAAGCCTTGTGAAAGACACTTTGGGCTGGAGAGAGTTCACAAGTCACAGTGGTCCCAGGCTGCACTCTGGGGACCCCATCACATACATCTCCCTGTTTTTCACAAGAACCAGAAAAGTTGAAAATACTGCAAGGATGGGGGGGAGATATAAAATAATCAGTGCTGGAAATCTAACAAGAAGGGGGAAAAACCCTATCCTAAACCAGGTAGCATCCATCAGGTATAAACACACCCCCATCAAAAACAACCAAATATTTGAGTCTCAGAGGGGTAGACATGTTAATCTGTAACTACATTTTTTTTTAAACAATTGTCCTGTAGCACCTTAGAGACTAACAAAAATATATAAATAGTGTCATGAGCGATCATGGGCACAACCCACTTCTACAGAAGACAAATATTTGAAATTTGTTCAACAGTTCTACACGTATGCATGTAGTTCAGTTTGTTTAAACTAACTTGTAGTTCTGTTAGGCTTCTAGAACTTGTTTCAGCTATTGTACAAATTTGCTTTCCACTATTTAAGAAAAAAAAATATCACTGTTTGAAATTCCATTTGCACCTTTGTTTTTTAGTCAGTTCCTCCCCAAGTCATACGACAAAACACTGTTTTACCTGAATAGCCAGTAATTCCATATTCTCAACTTTTTTGGAGTCTGTGCTTTACAGTCAGATAAACATTAACTGAAACATTTTATCAAAATGGGCAGATAAGGTTTATAATTTTAAATGAGCTGGAGTATGTAGTTTAATGTTTAGATAGCTATTAACACCTACTCAGACTGAAGAAAATAGTTACAGTGTGTTCTATTGTGCAACAGTCAGATGGATAAGTAGGGCTCTACCAAATTCACAGTCCATTTTGGCTAATTTCATGGTTATAGGATTTTAAAAATAATACATTTCAGCTATTTAAATCTGCAATTTCACACTGGTGTCATTGTAGGGACCCTAGGGTTACCAGATGATTTCAAAAGAATACCTGACATACTTATCTCAGATGGGGGGAGAGGGCCGGCCGGGAGGGGAGTGGGACTGGCCGGGGTGCACGCAGATCCCGGGGTGCTGCCCGTCCCACGCACAGTCCCAGTGGAGCACACGGGTGAGTCTGGCCCCAGGAATTCCACCCCACTCTGGCCCCGCCCCTCTCCCTCTTTACTGTGCAGCTGCGTACTGCCTGGCTAGTAGACACGTTCATACAGTGTGAGCATATCTACCAGCCAGGCAGTACACAACTATGTTTGATACTCGTGACAATATTAAAACTTAATTAGAAAATACTGGACATTTATATGTCTGGTATTTTCTCAATTTGTTTCCCGGACAGAAAGCTCAAATCCCGGACTGTCCAGTTCAAAACCAGACACCTGGCAACCCTAAGGGGCCCTGACCCAAAAAGGACTTGGAAAGCATGGGTGAGAGGTGAAGGCCTAGATGGAGAAGGCAGCTGAAGCCCCACCCCTTCTTCCAAGGCCATGCTCCTTCACAACCTCCCTCCCCCCATTAAGCACTGCCCAACCCCAGCTCTGGACTGGAGCTGCTGCGTGGCACAGGTCCAGCCTTCCCCAGCTGCCCAGGAGCCTGACTGCCACGGCCCCAGCCCTTCCCAGGCGCCTCGGTAGTGTAGACAATATTGGGAAGGCAAAGCCTTCTCTTTCCTACATTACCTGCGTCGCCCATACTTGAGGGGGAAATCGCAGTGCTGCCACCCCTACTTCCGCATTCCAGCCTGCAGAGCTGGGAAGTCAGACTCCCTGATATGAAGGCAGCACAGAAGTAAGTGTGGCAAGACTGCAACCTCCCACCCTAAAATCATCTTACAGCCCTCCCCATGCAACTCCCTTTTGGGTCACAATTCCCAGTTTCAGAAATGCTAGTCTCCCCCAAGAAACCTACAAAGTATAGAATAAAAGTACAGAAAAGACCGGATTTCGTGGGACAAAGGGTGGGATCAGATTTCACAGTCTGGAACACATTTTTCATGTCTGAATTTGGTAGAAAAAGCATTAATTACAACAGAAATGTAAAAGCCTAGGAGTGTTTAGAATCCAACATCTAATACACTTAGGCTACGTCTACACTGGCCCCTTTTCCGGAAGGGGCATGTAAATTTCAGCAGTCGTCGTAGGGAAATCCGCGGGGGATTTAAATATCCCCCGCGGCATTTAAATAAAAATGTCCGCCGCTTTTTTCCGGCTTTTAAAAAAGCCGGAAAAGAGCGTCTACACTGGCCCCGATCCTCCGGAAAAAGTGCCCTTTTCCGGAGGGTCTTATTCCTACTTCAAAGTAGGAATAAGAGCCTCCGGAAAAGGGCACTTTTTCCGGAGGATCGGGGCCAGTCTAGACGCTCTTTTCCGGCTTTTTTAAAAGCCGGAAAAAAGCGGCGGACATTTTTATTTAAATGCCGCGGGGGATATTTAAATCCCCCGCGGATTTCCCTACGACGACTGCTGAAATTTACATGCCCCTTCCGGAAAAGGGGCCAGTGTAGACGTAGCCTTAAGGAAAAATGAAATGACATTTAGTCTTACCTTGAGTGTTTTGTAGGCAGTGCTCATGGTTGTTACTCTGTGATTTGCATGAGATCCACCCAGTTTACAAAGATGACACACAGGCCTTCTGCAAATTTCACAGTACATATTTACTCTCTCCATTTCATGTTCTGGACACATTAAGATCTGCCAAAAAAAAGCGCAAATATTTTTCTGAAATATAGTTAACAGCTCATTAAGATACAGTTTAACAGTAAACGAATCCCATAATCACTGGACTATAGTGCAAACTCAAGTAATGTGCATTCATCTTATTTAAAATCCATTGCTAAAAGTAAGTATTTACCAGTGACTTGTGTATAGGAGGACAGAGGTAATATGAGCAAGTGGATGGATGCAGTCCTCAACTAATGCAAACTTTTACTTCTGAATTCCAAGAACCAATTATTATCTTCTTTAGCCTTTCCACTGAAGAGGACAATCTGTTTATCAAAGTTACTGAGAATTTCAAAAGTGCCATCATTAGGCTGGAAGTATGAATGTATGGGATTCTATGGCTACAGACTGACTTGCAAAATGAAGGGATGCCCTGATGAAATTCCTTTAAACAGACCTCAAAATATGAGGATTCAATTATTAGCCACTGTTTGGAAGACAAGTCACTGTTTCCAAGGAATTTCTAGCCTTCATAGCCGAACACATTTCTACTTATCTTGTCTCATAAAAAGATTCATTGAAAGTACTAGCCCTCAAGCAAGGTGAAAATGGAAAAGACCGAGCAGATTACCTTGTCCTTCTCTCAATTAAGGAACAAACATAGTATAAACTTCTCTCAGCTACACCACCCAAGTCACCAAGTTCTATCAATTTTGGTTTAAAATTAATCAAATAGAGGACTAGGAACATTGTTCAGAGGACTAATACTTTACACATTCAAGTCATGTCCTAACAAAGCATGTGATGCAAGTGCACATTTAACCTTACATAAAAGTGCTGGCATCCCTCAATAAGAGGATCACAAAAGCACTAACATAGCTATATTGTTTGTTCTGATAGAGAAGTCTGTATAATTTGACATGATTAAGCCATCATTATCAACCAGGTAACTTGATAATGTTTCTTATAAAACATTACAAGAACAGGTCTATTTTCATTGTCGCAACTTCAAGTATGTATGCATATGGTTGTGACAATATATACCAAGAATCCCAAAATCATTGTGTCTTCCCGCTTACTTCCTCCGTCTGCAAAAGTGATATTTGGTTTAAACCCTAAATCTTAAAAAAAAACAAAAAAACAAAAAAACCCCGCACACCACACACAACCCACAATATGTAGATAATTATACTCATCAGAATCTATAGAAAAATTCAGAAAGATGTCAAAGTCACTAGAAGTTTAAAAAAAAATTAAAATGTTTATTGAAGTTAGATAAAACGACAAGGATTTTCTGAAATGATATCCTGTATTAGAGGAAAACTAAGTAAAATTTGTTGATTAAAGTACTGAGTCTAGAGATCCAAAGGTATTTTCTAAAAATTGACATTCTAAATAAAAATATTTGTTGTCAGCAAAATGCTTCTGGGAAAAAGATGTCTTTAAAAGGAGAGAATGAAAGCCTGAGTCTGTGTATCTCAAACAAACACCAAGTCTTTACAAGTCTCTACACATTTTTATTGTTGGATTTTCTGTCAGATTACAGGATGCTTTTTTCATATAAATTAATCTTAAATAGAATATTTTTAAATCACATCAATTAACCCTACAATATTAAAATAGGATTATTAATAATTTCAGGGTTTCCATCTGCCCTGAACTTGGATCAGTCTGCTTCTTTCTGCTTTTATAGATTAAGTAATTAACAAAATAGAATCCAGAACTATCTTGAGTAGTCTGGATAGTTAAGAGAGAATTAACAGCATAAATGTGTTTCAAAATTACACAAAACTTCTGCAGAACTGTAACTCAGTTTCCTTGCTTAGCCTTGATTTTCTAGAATCTAGAACCATTAATCAATTGTGACAAGATTTTAACCTTAGAATCCTGCTTAAGTTTAAACACATTTTAAAGAGCTTCTACTAGAAAATATGTAGCTGTCTGTTTGTATATAGCTTCCAGACAACTTCCATAAAAACAAATCCACATCTGTAAATCTATTTACCTCTCTGCTTCCAGAAGTACTTTGTTTTCTCTACGTCACTTACTTAACACAAACATATTTGGCCCAAATTAGACATGCCTTTCAACCTAAGTGAACCAAATTAAAAAAAGAAAAGCAGGCCTCAAAAGCAGGTTAATATCTTAAGAAAGTATACCCAAGATAGTCTAGTGATGCTAACAGAAGAGTTTCATAACTCAAGCAATATTTTTGGTATTTCTGGGTCCTAACAACCATCTTCATAGGTTATTAAGACTGACCAATTGTCTTATATTGAAAGGACAACTCTTGTAGCCAGTGGCATCATATGGTGACATTTATACCATAGTTTAGGTTTTAAAGTTCAACATGGACACCAGGCCTGGCCAAAGAGTTTACAGGGCCCAAGGCAGCATGTCGTGGTTAGCTGCACCATGTGGCCAGGCGACTCCCAGCCAGGGCAGCGAGTGAGCAGTCGGGTGGGTAGACACCGAGCAGTGCAGGGCCCAAGGCAGCCACTTTGCTCGCCTTGCCCTGAGTCCGGGCCTGATGGACCCCACACATTCCACACACCTAGTACTGAATTGTGCCAGAGACTCAACATTCTGTTACTGACCGGTAGGAGTGCGGGGGGGGGGACGGGGGGAGGAGAGAGAGAGAGAGAGAGAAATATTGTTATATAAATGGTGCATTCAAAGGGAATACAAATAGAACTATTGCCACAAAACTTTAGTTATTGTACTATTTCTAGAAAACACCCAGTGCAATTATTTTTAAATGTTATTTAAAGTGACTAAAAAGTCTAAAATCATTTACACCTTGTTTTTAAAAAGCGCCATACCTTCATCTGATGGGAACCATAGCAAACATTTAATTGTATTAAATGGTTCACTTCCAACCTGTGCATTTGTCAACACCTACCTCTTTGGCATCAGATTAATAATTGTAATGCAAACTTGTACAATTCATTTAATAAATGATAGTAATGGAAACCAGGTGGTTACTTCTTATGGGCAGTATTTGCTCTGCATTCTCAGATCAGATGCAAGAGACAAAAAAATCTGCAAGGTATACCAGATTAAAAACCACTTACCTTGGGCCTGAAGTTAGTGGTTGGTCCTACATACTCATGTTGGGCTTTTAGAGTTCCCCAAGGATGATGTATTTTGAAGCATTCATTGCAATAGCTTGCACTGCAGTCCATGCAACTCTTTGTAGATTCTTGAGGTGGAGGTTTACAGAGATCACACATAATAGCTGTGGCTGCCCTGGCTGCCTGTCTGTATCTTTCCACAATAGTTTCCAAGGTGAAATTTCGAAATAAGCCATTGATGCCTCGTTCTCCCAGATCTACATCATGCCGACAGCCAGGACAAGGAAAAATGGTCGTCCTAGGAGTCAGTGAATTGCGTTTCCAGCCTGTATAGATGGCAAGATCTAGTTTAGTCAGGATATAATGGGAAGAAAGATTAGGACAGGAAAGCAGGAAACACAGCACCTAATGTAAGAATCCACAAGCCTAAATTCTGAAGAAATCTTGAGTCACTTTAGTACGTCATCCAGAATGGCATAGTATGAACTCAGATAAAGTCCGTCAAGCCACAGAAGACAATATATTTTCCCTTTCAAGGCATGGCCCTGATTGGATACAGTAGGCATAGTAAGTCAAGTTATAATTCCAAATGAAAATGGGGTGAAAATATTCAACAATTCTGACTACAGCGCTGCAATGTGGCAATTCTGTTTCTTGCTATAGTAAAATATGCCAATAGCAGTATACTCATGCCTTTTCCTTCCAAGTAGGCACTATATAGGTCTATCACTCTAAGAGACCATACCAGTTAAATTCAGTGATTAATCTTGCCAAAACTGTGAATGAAAAGGAAAATGACCTAACTGGTCTGTCCTCATTCCTGGTAGCAAGTCAAATATGGCACAAATGCACTCCAGATATTTAAACTCCTCTTACTTTATATGGGAATGAAAAATATATTCTATTAAGCTTGACAAATTTACATGGCAATTAAATGAGTGTAAAAACCTGAAACCCAATCACTAACAGACCAAGAGCTACGAGAATAAATCTAAATCTAGCTTTGGATACCTCAGCATTAGAGTCTCCAATACTTTCTGGAATCCATATTTGAGTTAAAGTGACTGGTGTCCAAATTCAGATGTGGGATTTTTTAATATAATGATCTAAATGGAGATTGAGATTAAAATAGCATTGTTCCCAGATATACACAGTTGAATTTGAGCTTTTACAAATGTGTTATGGTTGCAACATATATAGTTAGTCTGTCTTAAGCAGAGACAAAACAGGACAAGCTGGGCATTTAGAATACCGTACTAGGAAATTCTAGCCAAATCACTCAATCATAGCATGCACTGTCCGATCTGGCTTTTCCCAAACAAATGTTTAAAAATGTTATATTTTGAACCAAAGATGTCAGAACCACCTTCATGAAAGGAAGGCTACTTCCAGTAAGGTTAAGTGAGATGGTAGTTTCAAGTCCAAGAGGAGGAAAAGCTAAAAGGAATGCGTATTGGCAAGAAGTAATAACAGCGTTCTATCCTATTATGATGGAACTTTCAATACAGACAATTAGTTGGATATTTTCAGGGCCTTAGTCACCAGACAAGAGAAACCCCAGCACCAAGATGAGGTTTTCTGGTTTTTTAGCAGGTTTAATATAGTTTCACCTAGCCTGTATTAAAGTTTGCCTGGGCAGAAAGGAATTTTGCTTTACTTTTAATTGGGGAATATAGAGCATTATGGTGACACTACATAAAAACCAAGAAATCTCCTGCTTCTTCCCTTGATAGTCATTTGATCTTCCATTGATCTTCCATTGTTCAAAGTTGGGGGTAAGTGGCTAGCTTCACCACACACCTTGAGTATTAAGATTTCATTACATGCCAAGATATCTACTTTCCAAATTTTCTTCATAACCTCTTGCATTCTGCAACCTCTCTGTAAAAATATCCCCACTAGGAACTAACTCCCTTTTAGAACTCTTACTTTAGCATAAAAACTATTTTTCAAAACATGCTCTGCATGACGACAGCTGTGTGCACACTTCAGGAACTGAAAGGCCCAGCCATAGAGTGAGCAACCGTGCACAAGCTGATATCGAGCTCCAATTCAGAAGTTCCTGTATTTTTATCTAGAGAGCCTACAGAAAGATGGCCAGCTCAGATTTATGAATAGATACAATTAAACTGATTAGTGTAGTTAATGCAAAGAATGATTTCTGGCTAAAAAGGAGTCCAAAGTCTTCTGGTACTTACTTGAAGTGAATTTAATAACCCAAGATGGATGCTCTGGAATACCTGTAATTTGGCATAGATGAGCAACACACACATGAAATGTATGAAAACAGTACTGAATTAAAAGCCTTATTTAAATGTATGCCCAGCATATATGTACACAAGTTTAAGTATACCTTCAACGGACACTTCAGAAAGTACTTATAAAGGCCTAAGAAGAAGAATTATTTCACATTCAAACCATGCAGTGAAGAGTAATGAGTAAAAATAAGGTAATACTTACATTCACTAATAAAGCAAATCAATTATGAAAAATAATGGTAGCTTATGCAAACACAGCACACGAGCAGTTTAACATGCCAGTTAAATGAGCAATGAAAAAGCAAAACAACAGATGGAAAAAAAATATGATGCTGTGGCCAAGTTTAAAAACAGTACAAACCAATCCACTAGCATGCTTTTGAAGTCTGGACCAAGTGACACACAGAGGTATGGTTAGAATTTGTTTAACCAAAAGATGAGTTAACTGCCAACCAATTGTGACTTTTCATTCTGTCACTTAATGCACAAAATCAGACCATGGTAATGACTACATGCTTTATACATATACTGGTGACACCATGCCTACAATACCCCATCCAGTGGCTAGGAAATCTAAAAAGATCTTTAAAAGAGGTTCCATGCCTTTCTGTTAAATTCACTTCAATCATTTGTTTTTTTCTTAAACTCATGATTACTTCATGGGGATTTAAAGCCCTCTCAACAGGGGAACAAGTGCTTTTACTAGTTAAAGCTATTTTAGCTATATGGAAAATAAGCCTTGTGGCTACCAATGTAAATTACAAGGCTACTCTCCATATTTTATTAAAGTCTATATAGTGTTTAAAAAGTAGGATTCTGATCACTGTATTCCATCTTTGAAACAACATAAGATGAATAACCAGGCACATAAATATATTATAGGTAATGAAATGGGTTCTGTTCCCCTTCCACCTTCATTTCAGAAAAGCAAAAGCTATGTTTTGCAGATATATGAAAGATAGAATATGCCTAGAATAATTTCATTAAAAAAAAATAAAAAACCTTCAACTTCTATGGTTATCTAATCACTTGTAAAGTAACACAGACTGTTCTGTAACGTCTTTTGCATGTTACAAATCCAGATTCTACCAATCAGTCCTATACACACTAATAATCATAGACCATCAAGATTATTTTCCACCTCTAAATTTTTAGAATATTTTGAATACAAAACTCTGTGGTACTAATAGTCTTGCTTGTAAGTAAACTATATCCTACCAATTCTCAGATTGAGTTTAACTTCTACAAATGCTCTAATTCCATTAAAAAGATAAAAATGTGGTTCTCGTGGCAAGCAGTTTAAACCCCAATCCTGCCAACACTTAAGTACATTAATAAACACGAGTAGTAAGTCAAGACATGAAAATCACACACATTTTATCTACATCTTTTTTAAATAATGTTTTCTTCTAAGAGAGTATACTAGATCAACATTTACAATGTGGAATAGCATTATCTGTAGCAGATAACCAGAAAAGGGATAATACATCTTTAAAATATAAATTGATTCTGTTTTTCAAATAAAACATGATATCACCAGTATTCTGTGATCATGGTGGATATGAAAATTGAATTTGTGGAGAGATTTAAAATTTTAAAAGGATATTTTAAAGGTCAACTGGATTCAACTAAACACTTAAATGAATTCACATTTCCACCTTATGCCTATAGTTAGAACTTTTTCTAATACCCTTACAAAAATGCTACAAATTGACTCTAATTTCACTCATATTAGGTACAGCATAAATTTACAACCTTTTTGTTATAATCTTAAGTGTTGCTTGTAGCTGACATATAGCAATGTGATTTTTGACAGTGTTTTTTTAAGACTACTTATCTATCTGTAAAAAACAGAGGACGATTTCTATTCTGCTAAATCTTACATTATTTGAGTAAAATATTTAGAAATGTATAGAATGACTTATGAAACTTATTTTTCCTTCAGTTTTTTTTTAGATTTGCACATTTTTAATGAGAAATTTGGATTCACAATTTTCTGAAATTCATTCACTTTTTCCTCTTTCAACAGTACATACCCAGTTTAATTTCTTATCAAATGTCTATTATAATTTGCAAGAATGACAAATTAGTTTTCCATGTTTGTTTACTTTGTACATTTGACTGTATTTAGATAAGTGTGTTTCAATGTTTCCTGTTTGTGTGGGTCACCCACCAAACAAAAACAGATTATTTATCAAGACAGGAAAATGCAATTGTAAAACTACAAGAATTGGCAGAGAGATTTAAGGAGCAGGTTTATTTAGCACCTGAAACTATATGCTTTTTGTAAGTTGGCTATTCTTGGAATTATGTTCCAGCATGCAGAACATTTATAAAATAATTAATTGTTAGATGCTTTTGCATATACAGAAACAAAAGCAGAGCTTGCTGAGGAAACATCTATAAACTTAAATTCCTATATTAAGAATATGCTGCTACAAACAGCATTCTACTAGGAATGGATGTAAAGGGGTAACTGGTTAACCAATTACTCGGTAAGCACTGCCTTACCACAGGGGTGGGTAAGAGGCTGCCAATGGACCAAATCCAGCCCGCTGCCTCACTGGGACCTTTTAAGTGCACAGCAGTGGCAGTCATGCAGCACATGTGGCTGCTCTATTCTGGGAGTGAGGCTTTGTGCCCTGTCCTGCCCTTCAGCAAAATCTCTCAGCTCCCATTGGCCAGTTTCTGACCAATAACAGCTGAGATATTTTGCTGGCAGCAGGGGCAGCTGCCCCCGCCCCTCTTTCACTCTGCCTGGAGCAGAGCCACCTAGAGCAGCTTGCAACTGCAGCCTTCAGGTTCCTGCAGGGCTACTGACTGAATAAGCACCTCCCAGCCAGAGCCAGTCTCTGGCACCCCACCTTTTCTCTCTCCCCAACTACTAGCCCCAGGCCACCACTACCTGCCCAAGGCCACCTCCCAAACTCTCTGAACCCCCTTCACCCAGGTCACAACTTCCTCTCAGACCCTGCACCTCCTTCCCCAGGCCAGAATCCTCTCCTGCTCCCATACACCCTCCCTGATCCTGCACCTCACTCGTCCCAAATCATCACCACCCAAGCCCT